GGTCGACCAGAAGGGCTGGTCGACTTCCCAAGTCGACCAGAAGGGCTGGTCGACTTCCCAGGTCGACCAGAAGGGGTTGGTCGACTTCCCAGGTCGACCAGCCAAAGTTGGCGCCCTCCTGAAGTCGGCGCCCATGCAGTGGCTCCCCGTGCAGGTCGACCAACCTCGTCGACCAGCCCGCCCACTGCTGCAGGTCGGCTGCACCCCTACACCCGACCACGAAATCGGCTCCGCCCAAGCGAGGACGGGGCTAACATCCAACTCCTGTTGACACCGCCTTCACCGAGTTGAAGCTAGCGTCGGTGTAACAAGTCAAACGCATCTCCCCCTTGCCCAAATCAGCAGCATGTACAGCTCCTCCAGAATGATCCCATTGAGGAAGGCAGTGATGATGTCCATCTGCTTGATCTTCCATCCACGGTTTGCAGCCATCGACAACATCACCCTCAGTGTTGTCCCTTTCCCCACAGGAGCAAAGATGTCATCAAAATCCTTCCCCTTCGCCTGCGGGAACCCCTTGGCCACAAGCCTTGACTTGTAGCGGGTCCTCTCCCCATCAGGTCCGTATTTGTGCCTGAAAATTAGCTTGGAAGAAATGGCCTTCTTCCCAGGAGGCAGCTCACACAGCTCCCACGTCTCATTTTCCAATAGTGAGTCGTACTCTTCCTTCACACTCGGCTTCCACTTCTCAGCATCGGGCCCACTCAAGGCCTCGGTAAGCGTCTTGGGCTCGGGGACGGCTGCCCAGTAGCAGTGCGCTATCTCCTCCTCATCACACTGCTCAGCCACACTCCCAGCCCGCACCACCTTTGGCTTCCCAAAGCTCGGATAGGTCAGCCGGTTGGGAGGGCGCACATCCCTCCTAGGATGGCCAGCCCTACGTGCGGCACCTTGTGGACCACTTTGCTGCTGCTGCTGCTGCGGCTGGTGCTGCTGCTGCTGCGGCTGCTGCTCCTCCACCTCAGGTTCTTCTCCATCCTCAGTCACCCCAGAGATCTCCTTCTCAGAGACAGAAACCTCCACCTGCCTCGAAGGCCGCTGCACCTCATCGGCCTCAATGATCAGCGGTGTCGTAGGAAGCTTCTGCTGCTGCTGCTTCCATTCCTTGTAGTACAAGGACTCAAGGAACTTCACATCCCTTGACACAGTCAGCTGCTGGCTGGTCAAGTCCCATATCAACCAGCCCTTGTGATCCTTAGCAAGTCCCAAGTGCACACCCCATCTCCCAGAAGCTTCCAGTTTTCCCCTCTTCTCCTTCGGCACATGAAACACCACCATGCAGCCGTAAGCTCTCAGCATGTTGAATGCTGCAGCACTCCCATACCACTTGGTGTAGGGGATCCACTGCTTGTCCCCCACGGTCACCAATACCGTGTTCTTCACAACAACGACCTGCCGTAGTGCTATCACCCAAAACGTATCCGGCAGCCCTGCTCGCCAAGGAGAGTGCGGGCACCTTCCTGCAGGGTCCGATTGAACCGCTTAGTCATCGCCGTTCTGCTGCGGGTTGTAGGGCACTGTGAGCTGATGCTGGATTCCCTTCTTCTTCAGCACCGCCTCAAAATCAGCGCCAATGAACTCTCCCCCGTTGTCGGTGCGGATCACCTTCACCTTGTGTCCGCTCTCCCTTTGTGCTCTCGGCATCCACTCCTTCAAAACAGCCGCTGCCACCTCCCCCTTAGTCTTCAGAGGGTAGACCCATACCGCACGCATGTGGTCGTCCACAATGGTCAAGAAATAGCGGCTGCCCGAGAGAGAAAGGGCCCTCGTGGGGCCCACCACATCCATGTGCACAAGCGCGAGCGGTGCCTTGGCTGGTCCCGTGCTGCTGCTGAACGAGAACTTGGTGAATTTTGTCTCAAGGCATGTAGGGCAGCTCCCAATCTCCTTTGCTGCCCCTTTCACCTCCAGCCCCTTCAAACTCCCATCCTTCACTAGCTTCTGCAGCATCGGGATGTTGATGTGGCACAACCTCTCATGCCACGTCTCCCAATCGGCCTCACCACTCCCAGATGAAGCCTTTGCCCATGCAGCTGTCGCATCCACACCAGCGAGCACCTCACCATGAGGCTGCTGTGGCTGCTGCACCTTCTTGACTGCATCCAGGGCCCCAGCAGTTGGTGCAGTCACCTCTCCTCCCGCAGTTGCTTTAGCCGCTGCCGCTGCCTTTGCCGTTGCTGGTGGTTTCCCATTCCAAGGGATGATGGGCAGCTGCCACAGGTCCTTGATGCAGCTGCTCTTCTCGTCCAAGTCCCACAGCAGCAACTTCCCAAGCTTCGCACGACAGCTCGTTGGGCCGAATGTAACTTTGGCCTTGCTTTTCTGCAGCCGGCGCACAGAGAGGAGGTTAGCGGACAAGCCTTCAACAAGTAGGACATTCCCAAGCCCCACAAGTCCCCCATTGGCTCCCATCACCTTGGCATTCCCAACACCAATCACAGGGAGCAAAGCACCTGAAGCGGCAGCCACAAACTTGATCTTCCCAATGGGTTTCACCTCATCAAGCAAATCTGCCCGTGGAGTCATGTGACTCGTGCAACCAGAATCGATGACCCGGTGAGTGAGGGGGTGCATCACAACCTTCCCAACTGAACCCACATCACCCTCACTCACTTTCACATCCTCAACCATGAGGAACAACCCAGGGTCAGCTTTACCTTGTGCACCATCACCTTGTGCACCTGAACCTTGCACAGCGCCACCTCGTGCACGTTCACCACTTGGCGGCTTCATGCCTGGGGGCGCCCATCCCTCAGGCCGGCTGAAACACTTGAACCACGGGTGTCCAGCCTTCTTTCATTACCTACATCCACCCTCCATTTGGGTGCTCCCCCTGCCACCAGAGCTCCCATGCCCCTCGTTGTAGTCACCTCGGCCTCTCCCTCTGCCAAAGCCTCTCCCACGGCCTCGGCCTCTCCCTCCCCCTCTTCCTCTGCTGCCTCCTGCAGCTCCATACCCCTAATCAGTCTTGTTGGCAGCACCACCTCCTGTGTGGCGCCTGCGGAAGTCCTCCTGCAGGATCTGCTGCCGTAGCCACTCAGGCGTCCACTTGTCCTGCTGAACGTTGAGGGTGGGGATGAGGTTGTCCCATGAGTTGTCGAGCACCGAGATGATCTTGGTGCATTGCTGCATCTCCGACACCTTGCTGCCCGCCGCTGCCATCCTCGCATATGTGTCCTTGATCTTGTCAAGGACCGGCTTCACATCGTCTCCCGGCCACATGAAGAGGGCAGCCAGCTCCTTCTCCAACACAATCACCATCGGCAGCGTGTTAGGCTGAACCACGTCGCGTAGAAGCTTCCACGCCTTCGGTCCGGAGTCGTCCAGCTCCACTAAGTCCTTGATGTGCTGGAACATGTCGTTGTTGACCGATTGAAGGATAAGGTCGTACAGCACCGCGCTCCGCTCAATCCATCGATCGCGGGCATCACCTTCCTCCGGCATCTTCTCTTTGCCCATCGCAAGCTTCAGCAGCTTGCAGCGCTTAAACACACTCCGCATCGGCCCGCTCCATTCCTCATAGTTGGAGCCGTCCAAAGCCTCGATCTTGGACGGTGGCGGTTCACTCTTCTTCTCAGCTGCTTCTCCACTCCCTTGACTCATCTCCTCTGCTCCCAATCACAGGTTTCAGCTCCCCCCTTTGCTGTCCACACCAAAGTCTCACACAATTTCCACAAGTGTCGGCGCCAACGAAATTTCGGCAGAGTTTCCCGTTAGAGAAGTCACATGCAACCTCAAGAACACCACTTAGGCACGCCCACAGGCCATGGTGGGTCTAAGAGGGTCTTCACACTTCAGTAGACTCCTCTGATACCACTTTGTTAGAGACTAAGGACGGAGTCTATGAAGATTAGGTGCCGAAATAACTCAAAATCGTTGGGCCTAGTTTCTAGACAGAAAAGTCGACTCCATAAGAAATGCCGTCGACGAAAAGAACACCGTTAGAATTACCTCAAACTCGAATATCTTATAACCCTTGACCGTGGCTATCATTCCTTATTTGAATCGTGTCAAAAGATGGAGTAAACCTCGAGTTATGGTTTTCGGCGCACTAGGGGGTATGCTGCCACAAGCTTAACTCAATCACAATTAACTCACAAGTTCCAAGATTAACACACAAGAGAGTTGGAGTAGCACTAAACCAGGTGGGAGGGAAGAGGAGGACGAGAGGGAAGGTCCCAAGGGAGTCCCCAACCAAGGAAACCCCATGCCACACAATTTCCCTCTCCATAGGCAACCCCACTTTCACTTTTGTCACTATCCCAACCCATGCCATCCACCTCAACCCACTTGGCCACACTTGCCAACCTGGTTTGGCTTCTCCCAACCACATGGCAGCAATCTACAGTGATGGATTCAAATTCTCAACCCCAAAAGTTTGTACCCTATAATGAGTCACTCAACAAGTTCCCACAGTCGCCGCAACCAAAGTACAGAAAGCATACGAACTCCAACGTTCGTAACTTTCTTGATCTTGCTCCGATTGCCACAATTCTTGGCCCCGGTTTCAAGTCAAGGCAGTGAAGGCAATGGCGGTATCGTGCCGTTGCAGCCACTTGACCTCCTAATGCGATGACGCGAGTGACACCTTCCTTGGTTTGCAACTTTGCTCCCTTGTCCAAGAGCTGCCCAGGGGAGACCAAGTGGCCTTCATTCCTTGCACAAAGAGGACATCATGTAGGGTCACACGCAAGCCGTTAGTGCCCTCCAGCAAAACCTCACCAACACCGGCAACTTCCTGCATTGAACCATCAAACCCTTTGACGAATTTCGTTGCAGATGGGTCACGGACCACCGTGAACCACTCCTTGCGGCCGGTCATGTGTTGGGAGCATCCCGAGTCAAGGAACCACAAGTCCTTGTCATCGGCCAGCAGCTTTGCAGCCGAACACGCGACGGTGAGCGCCACGCCCTTCCCGTCTCCTTCAGCAACGTTTGCGGCTGCCGCGGGCGTTACATCCTTCTTCTTGTTGGGGCACTTGGCAGCCATGTGCCCCTCCTCATTGCAGTTGTAGCAGCGCCCCTTGAAGGGGCCTCGCTTCTTCTCTCTGCTTGCCATATTTCTTCTTGTCTGTCTGCTCCTTCCCTCCTTTTCCTTCCTTCCCGTTGACCCCCGTTGTAGCCACGATCGTGTTGACAGCGCCTGAGAAAGCAGATGCATCGCTGGTGATCTGCTTGTAACTGTGTTCGATGGAGAGAGTCTGCTCCTCCATCAACACCTCGCTGCACACACGTTCCACCGTCATGTCAGGGCTGGAAATGTCGAGCTTGCGGCGAAGAAACCCGTACTCCGATGGCAGTCCCTTCAGCACGTGAGCAGCAAACGTTGCCATGTGGACCTCCTGTCCAATGGTCAGCAGCTCCGCTCGGATGGTGCGGGCCCTGTTGCAGTAGGATTCCGCCGTCTCATCATCTCCCTTCCTGAGTTGGGCTAGCTGGGTCTGAAGTAGGGAAGCGTGGAGGGCATCACGAGCTTGATAGGTAGACAAGATGTATGCCCATGCCATCTGCCCGGCTTTCTCTTGCTGAGAGAAACCAGCAATAGACATTCGGTTTGGTGGAGAAACACAACGATTCAGCACCACGAATGCAAGCATTTGGCCCTTTGCGTACTCCCTTTGTTGCAAGGGGTTGTTCGGGACCAGGCTTGGTGCTGTCTCATAGCAAAACTGCCACAAATCAGCGCATTGGAGCTGAGGTCGGATGGCGCTGACCCACGCGGTGAGGTCGTGCCTTCCCTCCAGCAACGGTGTTACGGAGATATGCTCCACTCCAAACTTGAATTGACCGTAGCTCATCTCGATCATTCCCGTGTCAATGGTCGGAGCAACAGCTCCTCCTCCAACGCCTACGGCAATTGGAGCCTCGTGCCCAGCTCCTCCTTCACCAGTTCTTTCTTGCTGGCCGCTCGCAGGTGCTTGCTCTACCGCGCGCTTTCGAACCATGCGTAGTAGTCGTCCGTCCACAATAAGGTCGACCTCCTCATCACGCAAGTTAGGGTGGTGCTCACGAACGGACGCCTCCAGCTCCTCACGGGCATTCAGGCCCTCGGCGCTCGTTAACCATTCCATCCGCGGTCACAACGAGCGTCAGCCACACCAACGTAGGAACGAAGTGACGGGAGGACGGAATAAAGCCGCTAGTTGGATCGACGAAGATAACGCAGCTCTGACACCATGTAGAATTTCACTACTATAGTAGCTTGATAGAGCTCAGAGGCACGATTCCAACGCACCAAAGATTGCAGGAAACGGTCCACTATAGCCAGAGATACACACAAACATAGCAGTGATAATGACTTAGTTAATTTCTGGTTTGTGCTCTCTGGTTTTATACTAGGACGCAATACAAAAACAAAGCACACAAGAAAGTGTCGACCCGGGTCGCGCGCTGAATTTCGTCGACGCGAAATTCCGAGCCTTGAATTTCGCCGAGCGAATTCCATTGACTGGACATTTGTAGACGAGAATTTCCGCGACCAGAATTCCGTCGACCACCGACTGTAACTCCCGTGCGAATTCTGTTAACTGCTAAGACATTTTCGGGACACTTGAATCGAAAGGTCTCCAGTTCGAAACTCAAGTGCAGCATAACCAGCCCCTTAGCGGAAACAGTCCTGAATTTGTCCTGAGACACTTTCATGACAGATTGAAAGTCACGAGTTCGAATCCCAGCGCCGACATTTCGTTGCTCATGGCAGCATTTCCTTCTAACAGCTGTTGCGGATTAATATAGTGATGACTCGGGCAACTGCTCAATAACGAGTCAGTTGTTTGTCCTTGCTGTCGCGCTGTACTTGTCAGGTCAAAGGTCGCTGACCTTTGACTTTCGCATAACCTCCAGCAGATACTTTCCTTCTCAACTTCTAAGGGTTGACTCGCCGATACTTCGATGTGTTTCGCTTCGTTTACGACTTAGTGTTTCGACACGACAGGGGCGCTTAAATCACTTGTTTCCAACACTCCCCTTCGCTTCTGGAGTGTCACTGCTGGTGACGTGGCCCTGTCCAGTCAGCAGCATGCAGTACTCGAATTTCTGCTTTCCGAGTTTCTTGGTCAAGTAGTCAGCTGCCATCTCAGACGTGGGACAGTAGGACAGCTCGAGTCTCCCCTTCTCGATCTCGTCCTTCACGAAGAAATACTGCATTGCGATGTGCTTCTTCCTGTAAGCAATTCCATTTTTGTTGGCTATGCGAATTGCTGACTGGTTGTCGCAGAACATAGAGAAGCTGGGTAACTAAGCCAGCTTCGCTTCTTTCAGCAGTTCGCGAAGGTACAGTCCTTCCTTGGTGGCCAAGCAGAGTGCGATATATTCTGCTTCGGCTGAGGAGAGAGCAATTAACTCTTGTTTTCTCGACGCCACGAGATAGGTCCGATAGGCTCGAAGCGATAGATGTAGCCAGTGCGCAAGCGCCTGTTGTCGGAGTCGCCGGCGTGATCGGCATCGACGTAGCCGATTAACTTAGGTGTCGAGGTTCCATTCTTGTGATAGGTCAGGCTGATCGTCGGAGTGCTGACGAGGTAGTGAAGAGCGCGGTCGAGCTCCGCCATGTGTTCCGCTTCAGGTTTCTTGAGGTAGGTGGCGAGTTGGCTTGCGGAGTATGATAGATCCGGACGGCAGGTGACGGCCAGCCGCGAAGAGGAGGCATCCTAGCTTTCTCCGGTAGTCGCGTATGCCGGTGGCTTTGAGCGGAGCGAAGTCTTCCTTGTAACTTCCGGTGGTGTAGGTGGTGTATGGCGTGGAGATGGTGGTCGGGGTGAGTCTAAAGCGTTTGGCGATGGTGTCGCCGTATTTCGCGGAGCTGAGGTAGATTGCGCTTTCTTCTTCCTGAATGTTGAGGCCGAGGTATTGCGTGACGGTCGATGACACCGTGAGGGTGAGATCCTGCTGCAGCTCCCCTTCGAACCAGGTAGTGACGCCGTCGGTCGAGCCGATGTAGAGCAGATCGTCCACGTAGACGATGAGTAGAATGTAGTCGTTGCCTCTCGTGAGTCGGTACATGCCCTGGTCGTGCGGTAGCTGGCGGAATCCAATGCGAATGAGTCGAGCGTGTAGGTACTGCTGCCACAGTCTCGGGGCCTGCTTGATGTTATATACCGACTTCAGTAGTTGGCAGACTTGGTTAGGATCTCCGTTGGAGCTATGTGGTAGCTCGACGAAGATTTCGGCATCAACAGGTGCATAGAGAAAAGCATTTGCGACGTCGATTTGGCGCAGTTTCTTCTTCTTCATAGCGGCGACGATCGCGAGAAAAATTCGCAGCGAAGTGTGTCGGCTGACCGGTGCGAACGTCTCGGGTCCTTGCTCTTCGTCGAAACCGCGTACGACCCAGCGCGCTTTAAACTTGTCGATGGTGCCGTCTGCCTTTGTTTTCACACGAAGGACCCATTTCTGGCGACTACCGTTTTGTTGCGTGCCACGCCGATGGGAACGTTTTTCCAGGTGTTCCGTTCTTCCAGCAATTTCAGTTCTCTGTCCATGGCTTCGCGCCATTTTTCCCTGTGCTCCCCCCCCAGAGCCTGCTGAATTGTGGCAGGCTCCTTAGGAATCGCCGTGCCGTGAACCGCGGTGATGAGGCCAAGTATCTGGAGTCCACTCTGTGTGTAGCGGGGGAGTGTTGTGTCCTCGGGATAGACTGCTTCGTCTCCCGCTTCTGGTGTAGGGTTGAAGTTTGGTCCTACGCGTTCTGCTTCGTCGGTGTTGACTTGTGCAGGTAACCGTTGTCAGCGAAGTGATAGTCGGCTTCGGCGTTGATGCTTTCGCAAGGATTTTCGTCGTCCATCGGAACGTCGACTGAGCAGTAGGGGAGTGGTCCGGCTGCTTCCGAGGCTCCTTCCACGTTCTGCTCGTCCCAGCTAGCTTCATCTTCTGCCGAGGCGAAGGCTCGGTTCCCAAGAAATTTATCCGAGAGGTCCGGATTTCCTTCTTGCAAGTTGGCGAGGTACGTTGGCAGGGTAAGTCCTTCGTAGAAAATGACATCACGTGCTGCCACTGTTTCCTTCATGTTGATGTTGAATATTTTCCATGTGTTGTAATGTTTCTCGATGCCCAGGTGTACTCCCCACTGTGCGCGTTGGGAGAATCGGCCGGCTCGTGCAGCTGGGGGTCGGTACTGTACCATGCAGCCGAAAACTCTCAACATTTTTGTGCTGCCCAGTTTTCCTGTCCACAGCAGGTGCGGTGATGCGTTGTTCGGGAGCGATGATGATGAGAGCAAGTTGTGCAGCATCACAGCGTGGTCCATTGCTTCGGGCCACTGGTGGTTGGGTAGCCGCATGCCACGTAGCAGTTTGCGCATGGTGTTCTGGAGGGTCCTGTTGATGAGCGTAGGGAAGGGAGATGAGCCGCTTGATGCCTCGTTCTGCCAGTTGAACTTCTGTGACTGATATTCTCCTCCCCCGTCTGACTGGAAGCTTTTTAGCTTCACCCCTGATTCTCGTTCTCCTGCTGGAAGCCAGCGGCAAAGGCGTCGAGTGCCATGTCGCAGCTCGGGAGGCTGAAGTGCCAGACGTAGCGTGTGGCGGCGTCGATGAACGTGATGACGTAGTTATACGCTCCTTGTCCGGGCTCGCGATTGTACAAGTATGTCGCTGTACACCTTTTCAAGAGGTGCGTATGCTGGTGCGCTTGGATTGTGATGCGAGACGAACGGCTGGTGCGACAGGACAGGTGAAGCATGTTCCGCGGACTCGCTGGCGTTCTCTGCCGTCCGTTTGGAGTAGTGAATGCTTGTCGAGTACGCCTGCTTTGATTGTGTTGTTTGACACCGTGTTGCTTGGATGTCCCATTCTTGCGTGCCAGGTTCCTTCGGTGGCGCGATGTCCGGGTGAGCGCCGATACATGTCCGAGTTTGAGTAAAAGCTGGCGGTGAAGTTGGTGCTTCGGTGAACTTCCCGTGGAGTCGGGGTGAGCTGCTGCGCGGGTGTCGGTGGCGAATCGTCGATGAAGACCGGTGCCGTTGAAGGCCCAGCGATTGGTGTCGATGTCGCTGTTGCTGCTGTCGTTGTCTCTGCTGCTGCCGATGTTGTCTCTGCTGCTGCCAATGTTGTCTCTGCTGCTGCCGACGTTGATTCTGCTGCTGCCGATGTTGTCTTTGCTGCTGCCGATGTTGTCTCTGCTGCTGCCGATTGTTGAATCGTTGCTAATGTCCTTTCTGGCTCAGGTATCGTGTGGGAATGCCAGAAGCCGCCGGGGCTGAAGTCTGGATCAACATCCGGTGGGTGTGTCCAGGAGGTGAAGGTCACGATGCCGTCGCTGTCGGTGGTGCCGAGATCTGGAACGAAGTCAAGGACGAAGACGTTGTTCTTCAATACTGCTTTCCCGATGTGAAGTCCACCTCTCCCGTGGTACAGCTTGAACTCCTGAGTGGTGTCGTCTGCTTCGAGGTGGATGCCTTTCGCCATCAGTTGACTGACGCTTAGTAAGTTGTAGCCAAGGCCTTCTGCTATTAAAGCCTTCGACATCTGCAGTATAGCGTTCGTCTCCCGTGACTGGAGTTGAACCACGCCTTGTCGTCGTATGCACAGGTTCTGGTTGTTGGCGACGGTGATGATGACTTCACGTTGAAGTTGATATTCCCGTTGAACGAAGCGACCCGAAGAGCACATGTGTTGTCCGCAGCAGCTGTCCAAGAACCAAGTATCTTTTTCGGATGGCTCGCTTTGGGCGATAGCTGCGTACGTGTGAGAGACTGTGAACACTTGTTGGTGGAACAACTGATGAATCTGATTGCATAAATCCATAGCATCTAAAGATATGCACTCGCCCTTCTGTGCCCTCCTTTCCTCCTCCTCCTCCTCCTCTTCCTCCTCCTCCTCCTCCTCCTCCTCCTCCTCCTCCTCCTCCTCCTCCTCCTCCTCCTCCTCCTCTTCCTCCTCCTCCTCCTCCTCCTCCTCCTCCTCCTCCTCCTCCTCCTCCTCCTCCTCTCCCCCAGATTTTCGAGGCGAGGAGTACTGTTGTCAAGTTGCTCTTCCGGTAAGTAATGCGGTGGTGATTCGGTGATGCAAGAATCGGTCAATCTTGCCATGCAGCTAACAATGTTTCTTGCTCCTTATGCAGATTGCGTCGTTGATGTCGTTGAAGACTGCAGCTGACTCGTGGGGTGCGCCTGTGTGGATGTCACTTAGCTGCTTGCGGATGAAGTTGGCGTTGTGGCAAAGTTGACTGCTGTCGATTTGGGCAGTGTGTGCGAGGGTGTCGATTTGGGTTTCGGTTGGTGCCGGGTGTTGTTGTTGTCGTAGCGTCGTTGGGTGTGGAATGCAAATTCGGGTACTGACGTTTTCTTCTTGTGTCGCTCCTCTTGCAGGTCCATGTGTTGCTGCTCAGTGTGAATTTCGGCGCAGAGTGCTGCTTCGGAGATCTTCCCGTGAGCTCGGAGTATGGCGCGAGTGGAGCGCCACTGAGGACCAAGGCCGCCGATAACAACTGTGACGAAGGTGTCTTCTGATATCGACCCTAAGCATTGAAGGAGTTTGTCGTGCAATTCGCGGCAACGGCTGATATATGCCATTCCCTTTTCGCCCGGTTTCATTTCCACTGTTGTCAGCTGTGTCATTAATCGACTCTGGTTGACGCTGTCTGTTGCTTGATACAGGTTCTTCAAGTGGTTGTATGCGAGCTCGGCGGAGTTGCCGTATCCCCGATAAGACCGGATGTTCTGCTGCTGGTATAGAGTCAGGTTCCTCAGCAGAATTGGGTATGCCATCATTGACTAATATGTGTACTTCTACTTGTCGTATTGCATCCCGTTTTTTGGATATGGCAGGGACCCGTCGAAGAATCCAAGGATTTGCGCGCCTTCCATCATCAGCTCGAACTCGAATAACGAGGTAAAAAAAATCTTTCCCGTCGAATGGTCTCGAAAGCTTTAAGACGTGTGCGAAGTGTGACCGAACTTGAAGTGCATCCAATGTCTTCTCTTGTCCAGGTGAAGGCTGCTGATGCGGCATGAAGCTGATGGAGCCGCGCTGGGGCTCGTACGGAGTAAAGGTAGGCTGCTGCTTCTGGTTTCCGCTCGCGTAAGATGAATCGTCGATGCTCATCGGAGTCACGTCGTTGTTGTTGTTGCTATTGTTTGACTGCGCAGGTGCCGCTTGCTGGTGTTGCCCGTAGAAGGACATGAAAGAGAAAAAATTCTCCATCATGCTTGGGTCGAAGCCTTCGGTTTGATTCGTAGGCGTTTCGGTAGATTCCGCTGCTGGTCTTGTTGCCGTACCCTCCTCTGTCTGTAGGCCAGAGGCAGGAGGTGGAGTAGGAGTAGTGCCGGGAGAGCCGTTAGAGGAGCTTCTCTCTTTTTGAGTTGCCATGCCTTTTGATGTTGTAGGTGTCTTGGTAGAAGTTGAGTTTGTCCTGACTGCTCTCATACCATGTTGGGCTGAGAAAAGCCCTTAGGATCTTTTCAGGACTAGACTCTTGGTAGGAATTATGTAATCGCGGAAGAATAATGTAATCGCGGAAGCGTTTAATGACAAGTGTTTGAACCACCTTGCACTAGTATGTGAGGGCAAAGTAGATTGATTAAAACAAGGAGATACAAGGTTTTTTATAAGAGTACAAGGAATATGAAGAGATGCAACTAATAACTGTTTTACTGTTGCTGTTGCGGTTCGATATAGTGACGACTCGGGCAACTGCTCAATAACGAGTCAGTTGTTTGTCCTTGCTGTCGCGCTGTACTTGTCAGGTCAAAGGTCGCTGACCTTTGACTTTCGCGTAACCTCCAGCAGTTACTTTCCTTCTCAACCTCTAAGGGTTGACTAGCCGGTGCTTCGTTGTGTTTCGCTTCGTTTACGACTTAGTGTTTCGACACGACAGGGGCGCTTAAATTGTCAGAATGTTATTATCTAGCCTGTAGTGGGGTGCTCTATAGCGGGTACAACCCAGTTAGGGTTTGCTATATGTATCCCAACTGCAGCTAGTGAAACCCCCTCCTTTGCTCATTTCTCTCTTGCCTAGCTAGGGTTTACCTAGCTATGGCTCCTCTTCGTAGCTACTATTTTAACATGCTATCAGAGCGTTTACGCTCCTGGCCAGTGGGCCCGCCTGCTTCCGCTGCCTTCCTGTGTGTCGCGCGTCCCGTGGCGCGCGATGTTCGTTTTTTCTTCCCGCCGCGCGCTCGGGGCGCGCGGCGGTTTTCTGCCCGCCGTGGCCCCGAGGCGCGCGGCGGTTTCCTCCCTCGTGCGTCACCCCGGGGACCCGCGCTTCCCCCCCCCCTCCCCCCCGTCGACCGCCCCGTCGCCCGTCGAAGCGCCCCCCGTCGCCCGTCGAAGCGCCCCCCGTCGCCCGTCACGGAGCCCGCGGACCCGCGCGTCGCCCCCCGTCGCCCGACGCGGCCCGCGCGACCTGCGCCAGGCCCGCGCGCGGCCCGTACGGGCTGCGCCAGGCCCGCGCGCGGCCCGTACGGGCTGCGCCAGGCCCGCGCGCGGCCCGTACGGGCTGCGCCAGGCCCGCGCGCGGCCCGTACGGCCTGCGCCAGGCCCGCGCGCGGCCCGTACGGGCTGCGCCAGGCCCGCGCGCGGCCCGGGCAGCCTGCCCCAGGGCCGCGCGCCGTCCCCCACGCCGTCCCCCGCGCTCTTGCCCCGTGCCACCCGTTTTAGGGTTTGGGGGTGGCGAGTGTGGGGGTGGCGGTTATGGGGGTGCCTATTGTGTGCACCGTCCCCTACTCCTCCTCCTCCTCCGTCTCCCGCTGCTGCAGCTGCCGCTCAGGGGGGTGGGTGTGTGGGGAGCCGAAGGAGTGGTGCTAGGGGGGTGACGTGGGAGTGGAGTTAGGGGTTCAGCAGGGGGTGCGTGACAAGGGTGTGGGTCAGTTGGAGGAGGTTGTGTGGAGGTAGCTGTCGTGTCGCCTGCAGCGCCTGTAGTCCGTCGCCCTTGCTTCGGTAGCCAGTGAGCCTGTTGCACCAGTCGCCAGTGGGTCCGTTGCTCCTGCCGCTCGTCTTAGCCGCGGAGCCAGTCACTCCAGTAGTCCGTCGCCCTTGCTTCGGTAGCCACTGAGTCAGCCGCTCCTGTGCCCGTGCCTCTGCAGCTTCAGTCGTTGCCTCCCATCTTCTCTCCTTCCACAGTTCCTCCTCCTCACTTGCCTATTGTGATTACCTCTAGCTTTGCTTATTATTGTGAACTCCTGCTATGCTTGCTCATTGTGCTGATTACACCCCACTTTGGCTATGGGGGTGTGTCAGAATGTTATTATCTAGCCTGTAGCGGGTTGCTCTATAGCGGGTACAACCCAGTTAGCGGGGTGCTATATGTATCCCAACTGCAGCTAGTGAAACCCCCTCCTTTGCTCATTTCTCTCTTGCCTAGCTAGGGTTTACCTAGCTATGGCTCCTCTTCGTAGCTACTATTTTAACATAAATCACTTGTTTCCAACAAATAATACATATCGTAGATACATATATGTATATATATATATGTAGTTTGACAGAGGTCTATCCTGTTCACCTCGTGATGAGATGAAAACGTAGGCGCTTCCTGATTATTGAACTGAATCTTATGGATAGAACAGTACATGATCGTTATACGGTATGTTGTGAAGGTCCTCAGATTTCAGCCTACCGGTAGTTTTATTTTATATGTACCAAACCAATGCTGATTTATCAGCCTTTCCCCAAGGAACTCTAATTTTCTAGCGATTTTTCAGTGAAAATGACACTGTTGGCTGATTTTCAGCGTAAATTTGGTAGCGGACTCTGACTTTTCAGCCTACCGTAAACCCCCGGATAAAACACCCACCCCGAATTGTACACCCCCGGGTAGCTTGTGCGGGGGGGGTGTTATATTTGACCCCGTTGGTACTATACCCCCCCTTTTGGGGTGATCCTATATAAGACCCGGCCCCCTTTTCTTACGAAACCCTATTATAGCTGTTATCGAGTCAGATTTTTTACGGGAGGATATGACGAAAATCGCTCCCTGAATGAAATTTCGCGTGCACTTTCACTTCGAATCTACCGAGATTCCCTCCCTCCCACAATCTCGCTGTCGCCACGCTGGCGAATCTTCCGCTGCACGTGGCCCGAGAGGTGAAACTCACATTCTCGCCAAAACTCGAATTCTCGCCTCAACCTGTGATGTTATAACGACTATTGAAACACCCAAATTGCCTAGTTTTTTTTTTTTTTTTACACTAAAAAGTGCCAGAAAATAATCATCCGTGTATTATGTAGGATTTTCCGTTGAGGAGACCCCCCCCATTTTTTCCCAGTGGTTATCATAATACCCCCGGGTGTTTTATCCGGGGGAATACGGTACCCCGAAACGAAACCAATCTACGGTCCCCCCTGCAATGCCATAGGTTTGTCAGCATGCTGGCTTGGTTCTGAGACACGGAAGAAGCTAGAAGCAGAGACTTGGCACCGAAGCTTGAATATCTGTTCAATCAGAAAATTATGTTTAAGCACAGTGTGAGGGAAGTGAACACATTAGCTTCTTGACAACCCGAGCAACAAGAAGCGATACTGCAAGGTGAGCGAATTTGCAGAGCACACGATTAGTCTATAATAAGTCATCTTCCATGCCACCAACATGGTACCGGTACCAGCTATGAAACAGGCTTTTCTATCCAACACCGCGGCACTCCAAGCAAGACCGAAGTGCACTTCAGCCTGAGATGCTGCAGAAACGTCAACCGAATCAAACTCACCGAAAAGTTCCCAGCTGAAGGCAACCAGTGGAGTCAAGGCTTATCCGTCAACAGCACGAAATTGGCAGGAAGGGGAGCGCGAGCGCCTTGGGAGTCATTGGCGTCATTGAGTATTAGTTGCTGCAGGTATGCGAGCTAAGTGAAAAGACACTCTGAGTGCTGCTGCTGTCAACGGGAGTTGTTGTGTGGCCCCGTCCTCGCTTGGGCGGAGCCGACTTCGTGGTCGGGTGTAGGGGTGCAGCCGACCTGCAGCAGTGGGCACGTTGGTCGACGAGGTTGGTCGACCTCCACGGAGAGCCACTGCATGGGCGCCGACTTCGGGAGGGCGCCAACTTCGGCTGGTCGACCTGGGACGTCGACCAGCCCTTCTGGTCGACCTGGGACGTCGACCAGACCTTCTGGTCGACCTGGTAAGTCGACCAGACCCTCTGGTCGACCAGGAGTGACGTCGACTTGGAGCTGGTCGACCAGGGGATAGTGGTCGACCTGGGGAGGTCGACTGGAAGTGGTCGTCGACTTGGGTGGTCGACGGGCACGCACCAGAGGCAGCGGTCGACCTGAGAGTTCGACCGGAAGTGGTCATCGACCTCGGTGGTCGACGGACACGCACTGGAGCCTCTGGTCGACCTGGTTGCCCGGTCGACCAGGTTACCTGGGTGACGAGGTGCTGCGAAGGCTTGCGATGGTCGCCCAGGTGGTTTTGGCGAGGACGACCTCGGTGATGGTATCCCGAGGTCGACGTGGTGCATCAGGAGCAGTCGTAAGTACGAAGTTGATGTGGTGTGTGCGTTGTGCAGGTGACGAGGCACTGCACGCCAATCGTCT